CAGAGGAATCAGACGGAGCTTACTTACCTATATCCAAGGCGCCTGGTCCCTCCGGAGTCGGTCTGGTCGTATGTGTTTGTGTAGTGCAAGGGAAATAAGGTGATGTGAAGTGTATCTGGGTGTGACTGATGGTGATTGAACCTAGACCTTGGCCGTCGGCAGCAGCCCGAGCGTCGACACCGCTCCAACTTGAGGGGGCCTTCCGAGGCGTTGTCCAGTCACTTTCCTCGTTCGTCACGATTAACTAGCTCACAGAAGCCACTAACTATCGCTGGGTATAAGGTTAACGCACACGGAGTTTACGGATCAAAGGTCACTACCGTTTCGCGTAGCAACAGTTAGTTCTAGAATATTAACGGCCGCACTAGCTAATATTGCCGAATGCACGTATGCAGATTCTGAGTCGGACACAATGAGTCCCTGGGAAGCTCTCCAGCAGGAATGCGCGTCACAAAATTCTAGACCGTATTTACGGGCCGCGCCTAATTATTCCGAGTTCCCTAACAAAAATTGACAGCGTGCAGACATTAGCACAGCTAGCAGACGACTACTTCGCCTTTACGCGTTCTCAGCCCACCGCTCGGCTGACGTCAAAAACCGGTATGGCCCAGAGCCGCGCGCCCCCTAGACGTCGATTCCGACAACAGCGTTTGGCGCGAGAAGGTAGGTAGGGTAGGTAGGTAGGGCAGGGTATATCTGAATGATAGGAATATGAAGATAGGTGTGAATGAAATGAAATGAATGATTTTTTATTCAATATAGATATAGCCTAAGTTGTGTTATTTATGTATGTAATGTGTGTTCTGAGCGCAAGCGACACAGCTCTCCCGTCTGAAAGCCGAAGCGAGAGTGAGCGGGGGTGTCGGGCGGCAGGGAACAATTTGTGTCAGGATCGTGCCAAATGGAAGTCCATAATCTCTGCCTACCCCTCTGGGTGACAGGCGTGAGTGTTTATGTATTTATGTATGTATAGATTATTGTATAATACTTATTGAAAGTCACTTTTTAATTTACTACTGGTTAGCAAAAAAAACCTCTGTCCTGGGAAGAACCAGCAAGAAACTCAGCGGGACTTTTTTTAAACATATTTAAATTTACAATAAATTTATTGTTACAATTTTGAATGAATTTTTATAGAACCAGCATGGTGGCGACCACCTCATTGCCAGGGGTTATTTTTATTTATATATTAATTTATATTATAATCACCCTTTTTGTACAATTTTTCTTTAATAAAACATTTAAACTTGTTTACAAACATCCAGATCCGGAACAATTATTTGTAGGTCATACAAATACTTGTTCCGTGCGGGATTCGAACCCACGGACTCCAGCGCAGCAACTCATTGCTAAGCCTGTGCGCCACGGAGTAACTATAACGTAAGGACGGATAAGTAAGTTACAGTTTTATTTCTTTATAGTTAGATAGGTAGGTACTTACCGAACACACTTATATTTTTTATTACAAAGTGCTTGGCTTCTGCACTTCGGGTCGCGGGTTCGATTCCCATACGGAACAAATATTTTTATGGCCTACAGATAGTTGTGAAAATTTGTGTTTGTAATCGCACCGTCTCCGATTCAGGAGAAATCCTGGAGTGGGGCAATGTTATAAAAATCAATTACTACATAGATACCTATATTTCGTTGTATATTGTCCAAACGTATCAAACGCTAAATTTCTACATATTCGTAATCACTAATACTGTAAGTAGATAGGTCGGTAGATACTTCATTACGTTTATCATATATTTGTCCGTTTCTTTACGCCAACCCAGTCGCTTCTTATTTTTATTACGCTTATTACCCATTGCGCGAACACTATAAACCTAAGTATCTATTTCAATATTTTAATTTTACGTCGTCCTGTTACGTAATGTGTGTTCTAAGCGCAAGCGACACAGCTCTCCCGTTTCAAAGCCGAAGCGAGAGTGAGCGGCGGTGTCGGGCGGCAGGGAACAAGCTTTAAAACGAAGATAGTTTAGGAAATTTCTTATTACGGTGAAAATAATGATAATTTAAAAAAAAGTAAAAAAGATAAGCACTGCTTTATAGTTATTTCAGTTAGTATGCAAAGTTTAATGATCTAATTTGAAGTATTTTTTGAATACCAGCGGTTTATTGTTCTGTTTGGAGGTAGCTTTGGATTTTTTTTCTACCGAGAAAATTTTATGGAATCGTGTTTTCGTCTAACATAGTACTTAACATTAATCCTCAACTTCACCATATATTTATTTCAAAATCAATGCTGCAGTATTTTCGGCATAACGAAGGATCATGCTAAGCTATTTTAGGTAGTATAGGCCCTTAAACCAAATTTAAAATCGTAATATATCATAGCGCGCAAGTTCACTGTTAAGATCCATCGTTTTAAATGAAAAGCGCGGGAAGCGTTGCAGGAATATTAATAGAACTTTGTTTTTTTTTTTAATGCTGAGCAATTGGCTTATGGAGTTATATCTTTAAATAAATTTGCTTTTTAGAAACATATAACACGGGTACGTTCCATTTTTAAATTTAGAGCATCTCAAAACTTATTGAGTGACCTACGTATTTGTTAGAAATCGATAGTTAGTGACTTAGACTCACATTCAGATACTAAAGTGGAAAACCAGCCTTTAACATGTCGAGAGAGGAGTGAGGGAAGCGATAAAAAAGGGGGTACAATGGTTTTTCTTCACATATATATATATAGATTTAGATTGTAGAAGTAAATCATAAATCATATTTAAAATATATATTTTTTCTCAACTTTTCATCCCAAAAATAAACCATGCAGTTAAGTGTTCGCAGCCTTTTTAATTTTTTGAATAAACCAATATTTTGACCATCACAAACATTAATATAATTTAACACTATATGTTACTAAATAACAAACATAACTATAAATTTTACATCTATTTCGTCATAAAACAATCCTTGTGATAAAAGTATCTATGTAATTTATATAAATAATACACAAAAGAAAGTTGTTTAAATAAACTTTAATAAAATAACAATTAAATATCTTATTCGGTTCTCTTTTATTAACATTATAAAATAAAGGTAAATTTTGAATTTACAATTTGATGTCTCCAAGACTTTTAAGCACATAGTTTTCATATATTTATTTTTGTATAGTATTTTTATCTCCTGATGGCGGGTTAGTCTTACTTGTGGTGTAATGCACATGCATATAGTTTTAGTTGATGTAAGCTGGAGCCAAAATATATTATCAAGTACCGTCATAACAGTAAGTAAACAGAGAAAAATTGTTCACACTGATGAAAGAAAATAATGTCCTATGCTAAACGGCAGAGTGATGCTCGCCCACCACCCGTGAGATATAATACCTATAACACTATCACTAAACAACAAACAAATTATTTAACCAACCATAAATAAATATTATACTTGTCAGTAACTTATTTAGCATTTAACTTATATCATCATTCATTCATTCATTAACTAATACTCTTATCAATTATATTATGATTTTTGGCTTGAATGCTTGTCCTTTAAGCCAAGTCTTCATTTATCTCAGTATCAAGTGATAATAATCCTTTAGTTTATAGTGCACTACTTCACAATATGTTGATGCCTTACATTGTATAGGTTTTAGATTTTGACGGCTACTTGAGCCAGCAGACATTTGGCAATAATATCTCAAGGCGCCTAAGCAGACAGACACCTTGTGATTCACATCACCATCGAAGCATTTTTTTCATTGCTTCCACAAAAATACACAAAATCGCACCACTTTTACATATCGAAATCCACTTCAAACTCTCTGTCGCCCTCTTACGACACCTACAAGATGTTATGAGATAGCAGATTTACTTACACAATCACTGTGTATATTTTACTAAAAGTGCACACAGTATTTACTTAATGCATATTTTAATGAGCATTGATGGCTCAATGGTGGCAGGAATAAATATCTATCACCGATATATAGTGATATAATCTTTATGTAAATACATTTTAAATGTAAAATACAAGGCCAGCTTATAATTACTGCTTGTCTGCCATCCATATACTGATGTTTGTTATCTGATGTTTCTCTTGTGGATAGATGTCTTAGTAATGGCAAATTCTCACTACTATGGGCGAAAAGTTTAGGAATAAACTATTAATGAGTTGCTTAGGACTTGTGACAATGTTGAAGTAGCATACACATTACAGGCTCTCCATCTCTGTTATTCATTTTTCATAAAATTTTTAATACTAACGAATTTAAAATTTAGTGAAAGCTAATTTATAATAATAATAAATATATTTTTTTATAGGATAAGGGTGACAAACGAGCACACAGTTCACTTGATGGTAAGTGGTTGCTGTGGCCCATAGACATCTCATCTATCTTCGATTACGAATCAAAATGCAGATGCGTTGTCACCCGTGAGGACTAAGATGGAATGCCTCATTTCCAGTAAAAAGGGTCTCCGGTTCTCTACACTCACTATACGAAACACAGCAGCGTTAAGCTGCTATTTTACGCTGGTATTCTCTGAGAGTGTGGTCCCTCCCTGGTCAAGCCGAACAGTATTGTTAATTTTATATATATATATATATATATATGTATATATGTATGTATATAAAATTAACAATACATATAGAATATATTCTTTAAGTAACATCACTAACAAACTTTATTTTATTTGTGCATTCTGTGTTTCTGTGGCAGGTTCAATGTTTATTAAAGCACTATTAAAATCATAATTGAAAAACAAAATATTTAAAACAAAAATTCAAATTTTCATGAATCAACATAATTAATTTGGTAAAATTAGTAATAATTTCTATAGATTTACATAATTTGAAGTAATTGCATATGTTTTTGCATATATAATTCATAAATACTAGTTAGGAATCATCCTGTGATATGTTTAATGCATCAGGTAGGTTTTTGTCTAATTAATAATAATTTATAAATATAATAAAATTCAAAGGCAGTCTTGGACGCATTTGTTGCTTGAACATTACCTTGAATAAAGAAGAATATTCAATTATTATATAGGCTATGATTTCTTTGGCACCTTGCACTTTGTTTTCAGTTCTGATATTAATTTTCGTTTGCATGTTTCTATGCTTTGCAATTCTGAAACAAAAATAAAGATCAAATTGAAATTGAATCAGAAACATGCTAAATTCACATATGGTTATAATGAAATAATTAAGCTGTTTTTCCGAACTACTCTATTAACTAAATTTACTTGTTAATAATAAGGCAGAATGTACAAGGATTCATAAACAAAATGTAACACCTGATTTTCTATATCTACATTCGTTCAGGAAAAAATCTATTAGATTGACCTTAGAAATGTTTACTTTGGATCATCATCACCACTGCAGCCCATCATGAGTCTCTTACTGAATGTAGGCTGCCTCTAAAGAAATTCATGAAGCATGGTCTCGAACCACCTGCATCCATTAAAGCTATGTCTCATTAGCTCATAACTCCATTTTATTGCTGACTTCCCCATATACTGCACTTGCTGGTATAATTGAATATAACAACAGTAAAAAATAAAATGGAACATCTACAAATATTTAAACTTCTAACTTTTAACTAATTCTGTTACCACTGAAAACAAATTAAATTTTGTAATGTAGTTTCTAATTAATGTAGTGAAACCTTTCTAAAAAAATTCATATAATGAAATTTTGTAAGAGCTAATTATACAAACATTGGATAAAAATAGTTTGTATGTTAAATTACAACATAAACAAATTATAATTTACAGTTGTATCAATAAAATTGTTCAATCGTTGCACTTTTGTAACCAGTCAGATTATAATTTAAAATGAATATAAATGATCCATTTATCATCAAGTAACAGATCTGTGGACGTGGATACAAATATATCTAACACATTTCTGATAAATAATATATATTGACTGGATGCAAAGGCACTGTCACTTAGAGGTTGTTATTTAGTTAATGCTGCCATTTGCATCATACAATTGTTATGTAATAAACAAAATGGAACTTACTCATTCTGGCTAAGTCTTTTTCTTTCTTCCTCTCTTCTTCATGCCATCGTACATGTTTTACCAGCAAAATTAAGTTGTCAAAACTGTCTGAACATTTTGCACATACATACATCATTTCCCCAACTTCATTCTTATTTTTATCTGTTACAGTAGGTTGCATTGAAGTCAATTCATTTTCATATCTGTCTGCATTTTTTATAACTCCACCGGGAAGGATTTCTAAAGTTGGCCAACTTTCAGGCGCTTTCGGTTTTGGTTGTTTTAAGCCCTAAAAAAGACTGAAGTACATTAAGTGGTTACATACTTATTTTGGGGCAATACAGAAAATTAAAAATAACGAAATAACAAATAGGTACTAAAGAAATCATAATTTTTTTTTAAAATTCAGTGAGGAATTGACTTCAGTCATAGTAATCATTACGAGAACCTTAATTGCCAAGATTGGTGAATTAGTTATTGCAGTACCAAGCATTCCTCAACTTTGATGTAGCTTTCTATCTTCAGCTCTAGCAAAAGATCTGGTGTAAATACAGATTATACATTACTATTGGAGGTCAAAAATCTTTTGAGTCTCCCTAAATCAACTATTTCATACAGAATCAGATGGCTTAATGGTTTTTCCTAAACCACTACTACCACAAATGAATAAAGATATGTAATTTATTTTTCTAATCAAACAGAAATATACAAATTTTAAGGTCATATAGTACCTTCTTAAAATTTGTATGTAATTTATTTAAAAATTATTATTACTAAACCAGTATAACTACTCAATCCTCCACGGTGACTATAGTCCCCAAAAATCTTTCGGTTTAAACATGTACAGTGCAAAAGATAGCTGTTATTAATACAGTAAAAAATTATAGATGGTGCTATATGAAATGTATGAATGTATGTGAAATGTATGAATGCCTGTGATAGTTAATTTAATCTGTATAATAGTAACAATAATATTTAGAAAAGAAAGTTAAAATTAAATTTCGCCATTTTTGTTAGTGGAATGCTAACGTGTGAGAAATTCGATCAAAGATGTGATAACTTTTCTGTTTTTATACGTTATTTCTAAACTCATTGTGAAGATATTTTCTTTAGTAAATATGTATCATTACGACAATTCTAAAACGTTTACATATAATAATTTAGCTCAGAATTTTAATCACTATACGCGATCATCTTTTATTGATTATATGTTGTTTAAAATGTATTCTAATCAGTTTTTTGTGTTAAATGAATGCAAAATATAATATAATGATTCACTATTAACACGTTGATAGCAATTTATAAACGAAATATCTGTTGAGATGTGTCTAGAAATTATTAAAACCTATTTTAATTCATTTATTTACTTATTTATTCAAATTTATATTGGGTAAACATTATAATATACTTATGAATATTAAGTATATACGATATTATTGATTTTGGTGTCATTTTAAAGGGAATATCATGTATTATTATAAAATAATTGTCTCCAGTAAGTATTACATTTTTCTTGTAAAACTCGAAATAAAAAATAAATACGATATTTTTTTGATATTACCATTTTTAAGCTTTATTTTCAGGATTTATTTTTAATTTGACTAATTTTCTTTTAACAAAATAAAATTTTGAATTCTGTGTCCTTTGAAAATATTTTTTATTTGAATGTAGCTATAGTAGTTTTTCAGTAGTAATTGTTTTTGTTAAGACAGGACAGTCTTCGAAAAATATAGCGCAGTCGTAAAAAATAGTGACATTTAATGTGGACAGGTCAGGTGTGAATCACTTGCACGGGGTGGATGGAAAGAAAATCCCCATATCATCAGTTGAATGTTTTACGTGTCAACAGAAGCAAATTAAACATAAGATGACCAGCAGCTGATAACAACTCAAAGTTATAAAACTGCTATCGACAACTAGGCGTATGTGCGTTGTTGTGTACCAAGTATGACATATGTCTCCCCTATTAGGTAATCTATATGCTAATATATAGGTCTACAACCAGAAGTTAACTTTTAATAGACTGTAATGAATAAGCAGATAAAGAAAAAAGAAGTGAACTATCAGAGCAGATGAGTTATAGCTTACATTTGTTAGATAAGTTTCTGAGCTTAACAGAACTGATATCAAATCAGTTTAGAGGGTTGCAACTTAAAAAATGAATACCTAAATAAAATTAAATTTACTCACTACAAATAGTCTAAATGGTAACCACTTACTATTTGAATGCCATTTAATGGAGGTACTACTACTTCTGGTACAATTAATTCAACATTGTCACTTACATCCTCATGGCAATTTACAACCTCCTCAGACTGTATAGATACCATACTTCCAATGTTTGAGTCCTCATCATCATTAATAACCCATCCATCATCAACGTCATTCACACATGGCATTCGAGGTGAGTTTATAACTTCAGAACTTCTATCTGGCTGTACATCTTCCATTCGCACAAGTGGCACGTTTTCAAGATCTTCATTATTCTCTAAAGCACTTGTTGCTGACATTTCTAATGCATAAAATTAGTGACACGACGCAAACAATATGTTCAAGATATTTGGTATCCTACGTGAACCATTTTATTATGTCTCAAGTGAAACTTGATAAAGACGAATGACGTTATGGTAACAAATTGATCTGATTGAAATCTTTACAAAACATTCCAATTCCAATAATATTATTTTATTCGATTTGACATTGATAAACACAGACCATAGATATATGTAGCAAGTTGTTATTGTTGTTTTTATTATTCGCTCGAGAGAGCAGGCAAAGGAACTAAGCCATACAGCCTAGTCTTTTTTATTTTGAATATGCAGAATTTCATTGCTTCACAATATGTTGATGCGTCACATTGTGCAGCCCTTGGAAGATTTTGACGGCAACTTGAGCCAGCAGACAGCTGACAGTTGGCGATGGTATCTAAAGGCGCCTATGCAAACAAACCGTTTATCTTGAGAATCCATCACCATCAGAGCACTTGTTTCACTGTTTCCACTAATAGTTCACATGCGTAGACAGTTAATACATAAAATCGCATCTTTACATATCAAATTCCACTTCAAACTATTATTTAAACTATAATACAGGAGCAGACAAACCGGCGCCGGTCAAGTTCCCGCCAAAACTCTCTATGTAGCAAGTTGTTGTTGTTTTTATTATTCGCTGGAGAGAGCACGCAAAGGAACTAAGCCATACAGCCTTTTCTTTTTTCTATGTAGCAAGCATTTGACAAATAACATTTTTTTTTATTTAGATTTTTGGCTTGGATACTTGTGCTTTAAGCTTGTCTTCATTAACTTAAATCTCTGCATCAAGTGATACCCTATTATCATTTATAGCACATGATATGCTTCACAATCACGGAAGTATAGACAAACTGGAACCCACACTCCTAATATCAACATTAGGAATAATCAAATGACCTTGAGTAGCCCCTGTTTTCCCTACAGGATAGCCAACGTGATGACTGATATTACCCCATTGACAGCCATTATGAATTTCAGTATAAGTTTAATTGTCAGTATGGCAAGAAAAACAAAACTATTTTTGACAAAACTATTTTCACGCAAGTTTTTGCTGTTTCTTTTAAACACTTAATAAAGATTTACTACGAACTATTTGCCTAGCTTCCTACATATTTCCCCTGTTTTAAATTTATTCTTAAAAGCCGTTATATGACAACCCAAAATCTATTTGTCAAATAATTTTTACTGTACATGACGGATGTTTATGCTCATTTCGCAAGTTTATTTTTGAATTTTGGAATAATTCAGAGGTAAAACTAGTAAAATGGTCATTAAATGTATTGTGCGCGATTGCAAAAGTGAGTGGCATCCAGAATGTAATATTATATTTCATTCGTAAGTACAAAACTCCATGCAAATACTGCACGTCATGTGAAACTAATTTTTAGTGATATTTCGAATTTAATTGCTGTTATTTCTGTATAGACCAATGGGTATTTTGGTTTAGATGTTAATTTTGGTTCGGTATTTCCAATTTTATTTCGCTATTTGCTTAATAATTAACGATTCATGTTTGTATTATAACTTCGACTAGGGTGACCATACATTGTAATGTATTTTATTTTAATTACAAACGGAATAGGTTTTCTCGAATGGTCTCTGCTCGATTTGCGTAAAATTTCGAAATGTTGTTTACAAGAATGGTGATACACAGAAACATCAAAATTAAAATAATTATATATCTTTTATTACTTAATTTTTTGCAGATTTCCTTCCAATCTAACAGAACCTAATAAATGGTTAAACAATGTGGAGCTAAAAATAGCCTTTTTTGAAAAAGCAAAGATTTGTAATCTATTTCATATCAACCAATTACATGATTACTGTGAAACCGCTGAGACAAGGAGTTCTAAATGAAATAGCAGATTGTTCTGTGGTACAGGTATGAGCTTTTGTTAGGTACTTGTTCTTTCTTAATTCAAAGCGATGTTTTGTTTCCAAGGGAAGAAAAGTAATTTAAAAAAAAATTGCAGGAAAAAATTTTTGAGAAAGAAAGAAAAATGCATTCTGTTACCTAGAAAGCAGGAACAGCTTGATATGTTATATCACTAGGCTATAATTTGTAAAAATAATTACAAGCTATTTTGTACATACTTTGCTAAGTTTTTAATTGTATTTAATTTTTAAAATTTCAAATTGCGGTCTCAGGAAATCCATTTTTTTGATAAATTGTACGATAAGTGTGACAAATTGAAAAATAAAGTGTTCATGACAAATTATACGTAGTAGAGCCATGCTGCAGCTATATTTCTGGTATAGTTGTAACACGAATGGATCAGGTCGACCGGGGAAGGACCACGCTCTCACAGAATACCAGCGTAAAATAGCAGCTTAATGCTGCTGTGTTTCATATGGTGAGTGTAGAGACCGGAGACCCTTTTTACTGGAAACGAGGCATTCCATCTTAGTCCTCACGGGTGACAACGCATCTGCATTTTGATTCGTAATCGAGGATAAATGTAGATGTCTATGGGTCACAGCAACCAATTACCATCAGGTGGACTGTGTGCTCGTTTGTCACCCTTATCCTATAAAAAAACCAAAATAGTAATGACATTTGAATTATATCGGCATGGTTTGTTGGTCGAATAAATTGTTAACTACATATTATTTCTAAATTTTTTCAGTGTTTCAGTTTTTTAAAGTTCAATTGTGATTTTGGTTCTGACTATAGCATTTTCACAACTAACTAGTCCATTATAAAAATATTCGTTGTAAGAGCTTTTTACTCTCTCAGGTCATGGACAAAAGCACTTCCTCCATTCAAATATTTTGCTCTGATAAGTGTGCAAGCAAGGATTAATTTATCACAAAAAGAATAACTAATTATTAACATTACATTTTACTCGTCAAAAGCGTACAAGTTTATTAAACAATATGCAACTTTGCCAAACGTTGAGACATTAAGACGCTCTTTGGCCTTCTTTAATTGCATTGTAGAGCTTTTTATCTGATCCAAACCCGATCTCAAATACTGATGATACAGTACAACTATATTAAAAATGTATTAATCAATATTATTATTCATCACTTCACACCACAGTTATGACCAATGTTTTATTTATACGTATTCTATAGTGTATTCTATACGTGGTAGAGCCATGCTGCAGCTATATTAGTAGTATAGTTGTAGTACGAATGGGTCGGCTCGACCGGGGAAGGACCACGCTCTCACAGAATGCCAGCGTAAAATAGCAGTTTAACGCTGTTGTGTTTCGTATGGTGAGTGTAGAGAACCGGAGACCCTTTTTACTGGAAAAGAGGCATTCTGATGCATTTTGATTTGTAATAGAGGATAAATGTAAATGTCTTTTGATCGCACAATAAATAATAAATAAATATAGGCCGCAGCAACCACTTACCATCAGTTGGACTGTGTGCTCGTTTGTCATCCTTATTCTATAACAAAAAACCAGCCTATGGATGACAGTATTAATTGCTCTTAATTTCATTAATCCAGAATTTTAAATTTTGTTTTATAGGATAGGGTGACAAACGAGCACACAGTCCACCTGATGGTAAATGGTTGCTGTGAATTTCAAACTCTTTTTTGACCATGTGTCTCAGAACGCATCTAAAAAAAATTATGGACTAAAAGTTGAGTGCTATTCGTACCAAGTGACAAAAACTTCACAAAACTATTCAATCATGTATAAAAATTTAGTTGTTGTAAAGACCTTCACCTCTAATTATTATTATTGTATATTTTAAATTTGTAGACACTATTGCTATTGTAATAATAAATGTAAATAAAAACGATTATTATTTTAGTTTTATTATTTCCTAATGTTACATTATAAGAGATGTAAAGACAGTCTCCCGAAAACTTTAACCATGAATCATCATCCTGAGTAAGGTACTGAAGAATTTTCTTTGTGGAAATAAAAAAAAATTGACTTCCCATACAAAATTGGTCACGTGATACATTTTGTATGGGAAATCGAATTTTTTGTTCATTTTCGGACAAAAATATTTTAGTTTTAGTTAAAGTTTTGTATATTTTTCGTTTATTGACAAAAAATTACACGAATAAATAATATTAATTAATAAACTTCCGCCCGCAGGCTCGACCTTATGAATTTCTCTAATATCATGCGTTTCAATGGAACTCTACTATTTTCAATTAAATTAAAATTTTATTAATGAATATAATAAAAATAAACTGATTTTTCCCCATAATATCCCAAATTCTTGTATTTTGTGTTCACCCTAATTAGAAAGAGACTGAGGGGTAATGAAAAATTTCAAGGTCGTTTTCTTGTATTTTTTATGTCATTCGAAAGTGCGGGTTCCAGTTTGTACGAAGTACATGTATTTCCATGTTCACAATATGTTGATGCGTCACATTAAATAGTTTTTGGGAGTAGTCTATGTATGTATAGATTTGTACACATTGCGTACAATTTAGTGGCTGATATCTATTTAATAATTTTAAATACTGTGAAACCTGGCAACTTTGTCATTTTTAGAAGGACTTAAAAGTTTAGAACCAATTTTCCAACATAAAAGATACTCTTTAAAAATGATACTATATTCTGCATATTAATGATACAAACATTAAATAGACAAAATACTCAAAAATAGAAACTGGCAAAGTTAACCTCACTATGTAGCAACTTTGCCATCAGGGTTAATAATGAAAATAATAGGATTTGACTTTAAGGTTCAACATAGAATTATCAACTAGTATTACGTAATAATTCTATGAGGTTCAAGGTAAGTTCACTTCATACAAAGACTACAAGGTATATAAGTACTTCGTAATATAATACACAACACTCAGAGAAATGATTTGATACCTTGTGTTGCCGTATATACTTATTATACTCTTTGTTGTGTTGCAAATAGCAAAGTGTACGCTGGTGGCAAATATCCCTAGATTTTTCAATTTTTCATACAAACTTGAAAATGTGTGTCAGGGTTGTCAAAAATCCTTGATTACATACTTTACTTAATTTTTTATTTAATCTTATCATAAT